AAGGGAGGGATGTGATACAAATATAAATAAGATAAGATAAACAGAAATAAATAATATAATAAAACACCAATAAATATATTGATATATAATTAATAAAAATAGTTCACATATAAATCTGTAAACATGTTAATTATTAAAATAATATAATAATACAATAAATAATACAATACTATAAACAAATATAAATAAGACAAAGATGAAAAATCCAAATCCTGATTTCATGGAAGTTATAACACAGCAGAGAAGGGGGAATAATCATAAATGCAGTAACAAAAATGCTATGGGAATAGTGGAAGGAAAGAATTCCTGACTTAGGGGTGAGGAATTGCTGACTTCCTAGAAGAGTCATTTGAACTGGGCTTTGAAGGATAGGAAGGATTTCAACAGGTAGAGATTAGAATGGAATTCCAGGTATAGGTAATAGTGTGAGCAAAGACTAGAAGGCAGGCAAGTCCTGGGCACAGAAGCATGCATAGAGCATGGGTCAGGTGTACCTAGGTGTCTGGTACAGATGGCTCATGTTCTTCAGGTGCTCCCTAGTGACACACTCCTTTACCCTTTCTCTTCCATGGACTCCATTCCCTTTACATCTTTCCACTTTCCTCTCTGATGTTTCCATTTCTATTTCAACTTGCCTTACAGGGTACAAAAGTGTCAAAAGGAAATAGCTTTTCTTTTCCTTAGTTTTGTGCCCTTTCCCTGCAATCTTCCAGGAATAAGTAGCTCTCCTTTCTACTAAGGCTAATGGCCAATTCTTCCTTTGACTTCATCTCATTTTCTGTCTTCTCTAGAACCTCTTTTTTTTTAATCGTCTTATCTCGCTCCAGCACCTCTCCATGGGCTCATTCCTCTCACTGTGCAAAACAGATCCAGGTATCTTCTGTCATAAAGAAATGCTCAAACTAACTAACCTTCTCTCAACCCTGCCAACCCTCTAGGTTGAAAGATTTACAAAATGCTGCCTTCATGAAACTGAGACTCCAAGAAGTGGCTTGTTCATAGTCCCATAGTTAGGGTTAGGATCACAGAGTTAGGGTACCAGATCCCAGACTTAGGGTTACAAAATTAGGACCACAGACTTAGGAGGACAAAACAGGTCTCAAATTCTGTATCCAATATTTTTACTTCCATTATGCCATGATGTCTCCTCTTTCTCCCTTACCTCCTCTATTCCCCTATCCCAGTGCCTAGGCTGGGGTTCAACAAATGTTTGTCAAATGAGTAATGGATACGAAATTGCTTTCCAAATTATACAAATGGAAGGCAATGTCATCATCAGTCACTTCTCTTCTTCTGTTTCTGGACCTCTGCTTTGAATTTCTGCCACTGTAGTTGATAACAAGAATGAGGAAGATAAATATATTTTAAGACCAATGATAATAAACTATAATTTGTTGACTGAAAAAACATTCCAGCTCTTCTGCCCAGGGCTCTAACTGTCATAATACTTTCTCCCTCTGCTGCAGCCCAGCATCACATGATTGATCCTGCCTGAGAACTCTGTGTGTGTGTGTGTGTGGGTGGGTGTGTGGGTGTGTGTGTGTTTTCTTTCTCTCTAACTGACCTGGGAACTTTTTCTTTTTTTCTTTAGTATCTTATTTTTCCCCAATTATATGTAAAAACAATCTTTAACATTCCTTTTTAAAACTTTGAGTTCCAAATTCTCTCCCTTCCTCCCTCCCCCCATTGAGAAGCCTAGCAACTCAATATAGATCATACATGTATAGTCATGGAAAATATTTCCATAATAGTCATGTTGTAAAAGAAAACATATACAAAAAACCCTCCGGAAAAATTAAGAAAGTAAAAAAGCATGTTTCCATCTGTATTCAGACATCATCAGTTCTTTGTCTCAGGATAGATAGCATTTTTCATCATAAATCCTTCAGAGTTGTCTGGGGTCATTGTATTGCTGAGAATAGCTAAGTCATTCACAGCTGATCATTGCACAATATTGCTGTTACTTTGTATAGAGTACATTTCACTTTGTATCAGCTCATGTAAGTCTTTCCAGGTTTTCCTGAGAGCATTGCTGCTCATCATTTCTTATAGCACAACAGTATTATATCACAATCACATAGCACAATTTGTTCAGCCATTCCCCAATTGATGGGCATCCCTGGGAGGGATTCTTAACATTTTTGTAGGTCTTGGATTTTTCTATTAAGAAGCAGCTTAGTGGTGAAGTAAGTAGTAGTGAAGGCCAGCTTCAGAGTCAAGCATGGGTGCCTCTGACACATTTCTCCTTAATGTTAGTACCTTATTTCTGTGATTATCTTCAGTCTATTGGTATATATCTTGGATGTACACAGTTGTTTGTAAGTTGTCTAACCCATTAGATTGTGAGCTCCTAGAGGGCAGGGGCTGTCTTCTGCCTTTCTTTGTATCCTCAGTGCTTAACACAAAGAAGGTGCTTGATAAATGCTTGCTGAGAGCACTTGGCTGCGTGATCCTGGAAAGTTAGAATCTATCCATGCCCCAGCCAACTCTTTAATATTACAAGGTGCAGAGAAGGTGCCATATGCATTGGTAGAGGGAGTTTCCTCACTGGAAGCTCCTTCTACTCATGAAATCACAGGTCCCGTACAAAAACAAACAAAATTTTTAGTGTTATTTAAAAATACCCAGACTCTTAACAACAAAAAAACCCTTTAGTTTGTCATCTCCAGTCTTAACCACCAGGGGGCACTCGTTTCTTCGCGCATTCCCTGGGACCTCGCAAGACCCCGCCTCGTGGAGGACAAAAAGGCGTCGGAACCTTTCTTTCCCGGAACTCGTGACAAGGTAGATTGGGGAAACCGTTTGAGAGAGGACACGAGAGCTCGTCGCAGGGCACGACGGGGAACTAGGGAATAATGGCAGCCGTGTCTGTGGAGTTGCAACAGGAGCGGCGTCTGGTGTGTGTGGAGTATCCTGGCGTGGTGCGGGATGTGTCCAAGATGCTGCAGACCCTGGGCGGAGAGGAAGGAGTTTCCCGGGTCAGAACCGGCGGGACCAGGCGGGGATGGGGGCACGGGTTAATCTCCAGAGCGACGAGAGCTGAGGGGGCCAGGCGGGGAGTTGTTAGGGGGAGGGACGGAGAAGGAGGGGGAAGAGGAGGAGAGCGGTCTCCTAGGCAACGGGGCTGGAAGCGTGGCTCCTCACCTGGGCCTGGAGGATGGGAGAATCCCATTGCAGGACTCCTAAGGTCTCCTGCCCATTCTCTTTCCCATGGCTGCCTACTTGATATTAAAGGTGACCAGCCGGCTCGTCCCCTACTACCCCTACTAGCTTGTGATCATAGTGATCAGATAAGGTATAGGATCATAGATGTAGAATTGAAAGGGGCCTCAGAACCATCTAATCTGTCCCCATCTTTTTTTTTTAACCTAAGAGGAGAGTGAGGCCCAGGCTAACAAATGTAGTCAATGTCAGGTTGTACTTAAACCCCATTTCTTTAATTCTGAGTCAGCGTTCCTTCCACAATACCTTGCTGCTTCCCTATGCTTGTTTTTTAGGATCCAGTTCCAGTAAGCTATTAGTTGTTGATTAAATTTTCGCTCCTTTGAACTCAGTCATTTTTGGTTAGGATGGTAGAGGACCTTTCAAAGCCATGGGGTTTCATAAGGCTTGTTTACAGTTTGGTGTTTTTATATCTTAGGAGCAGTGGTGTCTGTTGAAACCCATCTTATATACATTTCTTATATTTCACATGTTTGTATATATACATATATATGCACACACACACATATATATATATAATATGTATATTATATTTCTTTTGAAACCTTTGAGGGAGGGGACTGTCATTATCCCTCTTTCGCTCCAGAGAGAAATTAAGATATAAAGACTTGAAAGAATTCCATTGTGAAATTGAGTTTCATAGTAAAACCTGGGAGTTCCAACTCCTAGTTCTCTGAGCCTTGGTTTCCTTGTCTATAAAGTGATTAGGTTGCTCCAAATGGTCTTTAAGGTTCATTTCAGGTCTGAGATTTTATATTCTAAGGTCCCTTTCATCTCTTAAATTTTTTAGCTCTCCTTTTGCATATTCCAGCCCTTCCCAAAGTTTTTAGATGAATGTAGAAAGGCTTTGAGGATGATGTGTTTGGGATAACATTTGATGCTTTTCTCTGTCTCTGCTACTGCATCTTCATTGTAGATCTATGCAGACTCAGCCAAAAGGTTGGAGCTATACTTCCGCCCCAAGGATCCCTACTGTCATCCTGTGTGTGCCAACCGTTTCCCTACCAGCAGTTTGCTGCTTAAGATCAAGAAGAAGACAAGACGGAGGAGAGCCGAGAGTGGAGAAGTGACTGTTGCAGAAGTCAAGTTTGACATGGAAATTTTGGGCATCATTACAACTGTTTACAAATTTCAAGGTAGAGGTCCAATGGGACTGATTGATGCCCCATGGATGCTGTCAATGTCAGGCCTAAGATAGATGGAGGAGATATATGAATGAGAAAGAAAAAAAAAGAGTAGGCAGAAGAAAAGAGGAGATGTGGAGAGAAAGAAAAAGAAAAATACATGAATTATAGCTAGGGATAAAATTTCCCCAACAACTACTTTAAGGCTTAGGCTACCAGAATGGAGTAATAAAGATAAAGGACAGTGCTCTTTCTGGGACTAGGTTATTCATAAGATTAAAAAAATAAAGTTCTTCAAGCTTAATATGTTTAAGTGAGCTAAACTAGAATCAGACTCTAGAACGGGAAGAGACGTTAGAGGTTGTCTAATTTAGTCCCCTCATTTTACAGATCTGGAAATTGAGATGCCGAGAGGGTCTAATTAGTGGCATGGCTGAGGCTAGGGCCCAAGTCTCCTGATTGTTCCATCTCTTTCTATTATGCCATGCTATCTCTTCCTGTCAGTTTCTGTCATGCTGTAATATCATATAGACAGAAAGAATGTTGATGTTAATCCAAGCAATTAAATGGAAGGGAGTTTGAGTTCAAGTTCATTTTGTACAGTACTTGCACACAAAGTTAGTTCTGCTACTGCTATCTCTTCAGCAAAGTAAATGACTAGTGTTCCTTCTCCAAACACAATGCTAGCCAAGAACTTTTAAAGGATGTTAGAAGTTTGGTGCCTAGGAGTCTGGTGTTCTTAAGTGACAATCATAGAGCTTGTATTATGGCTATAATTATGGTGTGTTTCTTGATCATAGTAATTGTAATTTGTTTACCTCTCTTTCCAGGGATGTCAGATTTTCAGTATCTGGCAGTACACACAGAAGCAGGCTGCAAAAACACTTCTATGTATGACAAAGTTCTTATGCTCAAACCAGAGAAAGAAGAATTCTTCAACCAAGAATTACCTCTCTACATCCCCCCACCAATTTTCTCTCGCCTAGACACCCCAGTGGACTATTTCTACCGGCCAGAAACTCAGCATCGGTGAGTATCTTCCCCACTATCACCCTTCATCCAACTTCTAGGAAGCTTTCAAAGAGCTCAGTTGTCAAACAAGTGGTACTCTGGGCATGTGTGCACTAGGAGTATCAAATTTCAGATTGATAAATTGTCCATTTGACATAGTCCCAGGTAAGGAAGAATTCATAAGTTATTGAGAACCAGTGTGATGTAGTGCAAAGAATGCTGACCTGGGAATCAGGAGAACTGGCTATGAATTCTGCCTTTAATATTTACTAGGTGACTATGGACAAATCACTTATTCTCTTTAAACCTTCAGTTTTCTTGTCTGTAAAATAGGGATACTACTTATATAAAGTTCTTTGCAAATTTTAAAGCACTGTGTAAGTGTTACCTGTTATTATTTTTGATGAGGCTTTCCTACATTGAGAATTGTGGAAAGTAAGAATATATATCATTTCTCTGTCCACACTACCACTAAGACCAGTGATTCCAGTGGAGATATACAATCTCTTTATATATATGTCCATACATTCCTAGTAATTTGCTTTGCCAAATCAACAAGCATTTATATATCACTTGCTGTGTGCCAGGGACTGTGCTAAGTGCTGGGGATACACATACAGGCAAAAAGGGTGTCAGTCCTTAAGGAGCTTACATTCTGTTGGGGGATGATGAAACATGAAAGGGAACTGAAGGGGAGGGGTAAGGAAGGTAGCCATCTGGGGGCACAGTGGCAAAGTCTGGAGAGTGATGGATGCTTAGTCCAGGCCAAGGGTGGGGAACCTGCAGCCTCAAGGCCACATGTGGCCTTCTAGACCCCCAAGGGTGGTCCTTTGACTGAATCCAGACTTTACAGAACAAATCCTTTCAATAAAAGGATTTGTTCTGTGAAGTCTGGATTCAGTCAAAGGGCCACACTTGAGGACTTAAAGGGCCCCACGTACGTGGCCTCAAGGCTGCAGGTTCTTCACCCCGGTCTAGGCTCTTCTTCAGAATGGAGGTTCCAGGAGGGACTCACCTAACTAGAGAAGGAGGCCAACAGGCCAAGGATCAGGGAGAAGACAGCTAAAGCATTATGGCAAAATTTAGCAAATTTTTAAAAAAATATTGCTGGATTTGGAGTTAGGAAGACTTGGGTATCAGTCTTGCTGCTGATACAAGTTCTGTGACCCTGGACAAGTCACTTAACCTTTTTGACCTTCTGCTTCCTTATCTATAAAATAGAGATAATAATACCTGTATTACTGTATCTCACAGAGTTGATGTGAAGATCAAATGCAACAATTTTGTTAATTTTTTTTTAAACATGACTTTTATTTGTTTGTTTTTTTGTTTTTATTTTTTGCTAGGCAGTGGGGTTAAGTGACTTGCCCAGGGTCACACAGCTAGTAAGTGTCAAGTGTCTGAGGCCAGATTTGAACTCAGGTCCTCCTGACTCCAGGGCTAGTGCTTTATCCACTGTACTACCTAGCCGCCCCCTGTTGTTATTTTTAAAACAGTTTTGAGATAATTGGGGATATTCTGGTGCTGTTGCAAAAAACAGAATTAGGAATTACTGCCTTAGACAATTAACTTTGCTTTGGATAGAAGATAGTACTCCAGAAATAAGATTGAATATTCCCCCAAAGGAAAAAAAATATAGATTGAAAATGCCTAGCATGTGATCTAATTGGAAAGTTCTTTTCCTCTATGGTGATGGTTCCCTTTCCCCTAAACCCTCTCACCCCAAAATTCCTGCCAATCTGCCTTTTCCACTGTGTTGCTGGATACTCATTCCATAGGTGACAAACTTGCCTTCATCTTAAATTTTTTTCTCTTCCCCTCTTTCTATCTTCTATCAATCACTAACATCTAGCTCCTCTCTCTCCCTTAATCTCCCCTCCCCCTTCATGATACAGCTTCCCTGGCCACCCATTCTAGTACTCATTTCTTTTGGCTCACTGGTTGAGGAAAGGGAGTTGGAATACTCTTTGCTTTCCATTGCCACTTTCAGATTTTACCCCTATCTCTGTCACTCAATAACCTCTTCTCCTTTGAGGCCCATACAGTCTACCTCTTCCACCCACTCAAAATCCTGGTAGCTGTTGTCCGCAGATCTCCAGAACGATGCTCTTCCTTCCTCAACTAGTTCATTACCTAGCTCACAATCTTTTTTGCGTCTCTAACTTTTGCCTTCATACTAGGAGACTTCAACATACATATTTTTCCCCTCTTCTTTTCCCTAACTTGACCTTCTGGTGAACCAGTTCATCTTTATACTGTCTTCTTCTCTTGAGTTCCTCACCCCCTTTTATTACTAGTTCCACCCTTCCAAGCCTCAGCCTTGGATCACTCCTATTATCCGACATTTTTGTTTCTACATACGTGCTGCTGCAGGAAGGTGGAGAAAATCATACAACTGTCCTGTCTGGGTCCACTACAAATTTATTTTACACAACCTCAAAGGGCCCTCCCTATTGCTAGGCAGTTCTTCTATACTTACCTTATCAGTTCACTATCCCATTCTTCCACTTTGTCACTTATCGTCGATCTCTCCCTACCCATTGTCTGCTTCCCTGCTGCCTACAAACATGCTCATGTTTCCCCATCCTGAAAAAAACCCTCACTTGATCCTTTCATCCCCACTATCATTCTACTTCTCTTCTGCCCTTTGTAGCAGAACTTGAGAAGGCCATTTACAACAGATGCCTCTACTTCTCCTCCTCTCACTCTCCTCTGAACTCCCTATGATCTAACCTCTAACTTCTTCATATCACTGAAACTACTGTCTCCAAAGTTACAAGTGGGGAGAGCCAGGTGGTGCAGTGGATAGAGCACCAGCATTGGAGTCAGGAGGCTTGAATTCAAATGTGACCTTGGACACTTAATTAGCAGTGTGATCCTGGGCAAGTCACTTAACCCCGATTGTCTGCAATTAAAAAAAAAACCCAACAACAAAGTTAGCAGTGATCCCCTAATTGTCAAATCCAATGTCCTTTTCTCAGTCCCCATCCTTCTTTACCTCTCCAACCTTTGACACTGTCGATTACCCTCTTCTCTCTAGGTCCCTGGGATAACACTCCCTTCTGGTTCTCCTCCTACCTATTTGATCTCTCTTCACTCTCTTTTGCTGGATCCACATCAGGTCATGGTGTCTGACAGAGTTCTGTCTTGGACTCTCTTCTCTTCTCCATCTGTACTACATCGTTTGATGAGCTCATTGGCTCCATGCCTTTAATTATCATCTCTATGCTGATGCTTCTCAGATCTACATATACTACCTGAAACTCTCTGCTGACCTTCAGTCTCCTATCTCCAGTTGCCTTTCAGACATCTCAAACTGGATGTCCAGTAGACATCTGAAACTCAACACGACCAAATTGAACTCATTATCTTTTCCTCTAATCTTTCTCCTTTCCTTTCAAATTTCCCTATCATTGTTGAGGGCACCACCATTCAGTCCCCTAAGCTTGCAACCTAGATATCATCCCTGACTCCTCACTCACTGTCTCTCAGTAACACCCCTCCCTCATAGCCAATCTATTGCCAAGGCCTGTTGATTTCACCTTCCCAGCATCTCTTGAAAATGCCCCCTACTCTCCTCTGAAAGGAGGAGTTATCATCCTGGTGCATACTCTGTTGCAATAGCCTGCTGATTGTTCTGACTGCCACAGGCCTCTGCCCACTCCCATCCATCCTCTATTCATCTACCAGCATGATTTTCCTAAAGCACTAGTCCAACCATGTCACCTCTTTATTCGGTAAACTCTAGTGGCTCCCTGTCACCTCTAGGATCAAATACAAAATCTTTTTTGGCATTCAGAGCCCTTCATAGACCCTAGTCTTCTTACACATTATACCCACCTATATACTCTTTGATTTAGTTACACTATTCCACAAACAAGACACTCCATGTTTCTGTTCTAGGTATTTTCTCTGACTGTACCCCATGCCTGAAATTCTCTCCCTTCTCATCTCTACATCCTGGCTTCCTTCAAATCCCAAGTAAAATCTTACCGTCTACAGGAAAGCTGTCCTCTTAATTCTAATGTTTTCCCTCTGTTAATTATTTCCTATTTATCCTGTGTACAACTTGCTTTGTACATATTTAACTTGAGAGTTCCTTGAGGGCAGGGAATGTCTTTTGCTTTTCTTTGTAACCTCAGTACTTAGTACAGTGCTTGGCACATAGCAGATGCTTTAATAAATACTCATTAATTGACTGACTAAATACTTAAAATATATTTACTGTTCAAGTCTGTGGCTGGTTTGTCCAGTGGTTAGACTCCTTTGTTAGTGATAATAAAAATGTGGGGTGTGACTCTTTGTGACCTGACTAGTCTTGGTTTGTGTTTGTTTTTGTTTTTGTTTTTTGATCTTATCACTGACCCCCAACTAGAGGTCTTACAGGTACTATTAGCTTGACTATATTAGCCTATACTGTTTACCCTCTTCTTCCATATATTTCCCAAGATAATGTTAATAGCTATCCAGAATGCAAGATTTCTTATGTTAAATTAGATCCAGAGAGGTTATAGCATACTTGAAACTCAACTCAGAGCTAATGGTGAGTCAGTAGTGACTATTGTATCCACAGAGCTTCCCCAAGAAGAGCCCAAGCTTGCCAAACCCTAAATGGTCTTTGCCGGCCTTTGAAGCTAGAGGGCAGAGTTTACTGTCAATAGTTTCTCTCCAACTATTGCAAATATGAAAAATGTCATTTAGCTGCATCTCTTAGTAGTAAATTCTCACCCATAACTTCTTCCCCCAGTTTAATATCACGTGGTATTGCTATTTGAGTGCTTTTTAAATTGCTAATAAAACAACTTGCTTCCCCATATAATCAGTAGAAGCAGATAAATCATTTCTGAGGTCCAGAATGAATTGACTCAGTTTTACTATAGATAAACTGAGAGTCAGCTCTGTTTATATACCCCTGTCAAGCTGCTGCTGACTCTGGGATTCTCATTCTTTTTTGGCCATCAGGTAATCATTTATTGGCTTAATTGGGGACCAAGTGCAAGTGTGCAGTAGGGTACATATTTGTGACTCTATTCCTTCTGACTGTACTGAAGCGATCTAAGTATATTGGTACAAAGGAATCCTGCCATGGTTGGTGTGTCATTTATTCCCCCCACCACCTCTGCTACAGCCCAGTTTTTCAGTGGCTTTAGGTGGAGCAAGAAGGTAAAGAACAACAGAGAGCCCCAAGTGTCCAGGTTTCTATTTTGCTAATGAGGCCATTTGTTTGGTCTTATTTGCTTTCCGTTTAAGGAAAAAGACAAATTTTTGGAAAAAAATAAAGGGGAAGGGCACCTGCCTTTTTTCCCCTGGAAGGAAATTAATTATTCCTCTAGGTTGTCCTTCAAATTGCCAGAAAAACTCATATATCAGTCTGCTTTCAGGGGTTTCCTCACTTGACCCCTTCTTAGAGACAGAATTGAGTTTCTTACTATAGAGGTAATAACTGAAAAACTTGGGAAAAAGGCACCTGGAGTGATTTGAGAACTAATGTTCATAGATGTCTTGCCTTTATCTGGTTTTGGTTTTCTTATTTTTAACTGAAATTAAGCTCCTTTATATTGGTTCTGCTGACTTCCCAAGGCCTCCCTCACAATTTTAAACATATTCAGAATTGCAATGACTTTCCCATACACTGGAAAAATGGAAATGTTTCGCTGGGAAACCTTTCATTTGGTAATTCAGGTTTCTGTTGGTAACAGGGAAAATTGACTATTTATCCCAAAATGTTATTTTGAAGTAGGAAATTCAGAATACTTTTACTTCATTCTTCTTGGTTGTTTAAAAAAAAAAAGTTTGCTAAGGTACTAGAATGAATGACCAAGAGTGGATCTCTGTTGGGAATTTAATAAAAAAATAAAGAGAGTCAACTCAACAAATAGTTAATATTGTGAGTGTTGAGGACACTGCATAGATCAGTAAGATATACACCCCTCAGGAGGTTACAGTTTAGAAGGATTATCTAGCACATATACAAATAATTATAAAATAAGTATACAAAGTAAATAAAACAAAAGTTTTTTAAAATGCTATACTATATGACATCTAAAGGGGAAAAGGTCATTTCTAGCTGGGGAATTGTAGTACTTCATATCTGTCAAGTTTAATTATCACCCTTCACAAAGTCAGGGGAAATGGAAAGAATGACTTTTTGAAGTTCACTGTCTGTATGGGGAAAACTTATATTGTTTGCCTTCTCCCTTCACACATTTACTAAGATAACTCTAATAGCTCTCCAGGACGTATGATTTCTTATGTGAAATCAGATGCAGATAGGATCTTTCAGCTTTGCAAATTGTTTTCAAGAACCAATAGCCTGTTTAAAAAAATCTCTTTTGGGTTACAGGATATTTTTTTTAATTGGAAGAGACATTAAAGATAATTTAGTTCATTCTCTTTATTTTACAGAGGAAGATATTTGAGGTATAGAGAGGGTAAGTGACTTGCCCAAGGGCCCCTTGTTCGTTAGTGATAAAGCTTAGGATTAGAACTTGAATGGGAAGTCACCAAATGAAAGTACTTCTTGAGCTAAGTTTTGAAGGAAACAAGGGATTCTAATGAATGACTAAAGAAAAAGTCAATGTGAGCCAACATGTCTGCTCTGCAAGGCAGGGAACCTGGAGTGGCCCAGCCCACCATCATTGGGAAGGAAAGAATGGGCCTGAGGGTCCAAGTGAAATGAGAATTCTGGATTCCTTTCTGCAGGGGTAGGGGAGGGGAAGAGGAAGGATGCGTTGGCAGGAAGGTTGGGGGAGAAGAGTGTTCCATGATTCTTGTTCCACCATGCCCTCCAGTACCCAGTGTAATGGCTCCCACTGGAGGCAGTACTTTCCTGGAATTCGGTAAAGTCTGTGTAGAAGATTGGAGTCCAGAAATGCAATGACATGGGAGGAACAGCAAGATGGCCACTTTGGCTGGACAGGAAAGGAGATAAATGTAATGAAAATGGAAATGTACGTTGGGGCCAGGCTGTGAAAGGCTTTTGCAAGATGAACAGGTGTTCCTATTTGATCCTAGAGGTAGCCATTGGAGATTTTTTAAGGAGGTGAGGAAAAGGTGACATGGGCAGACTTCAGGAAAATCACTTTTATCAATTTTGTGGCAGATAGATAGGAGAAGAGAGACTTTAGGTAGGGTGACCAATTAGGAGGATATTGCAGTGGGTGCATGGTGGATGGCAGGATGGAATATGATAGCTCTATGAATTTTAGGCTTTTTGAAAATTGATTACATAGGAAGTGAGAGGGAGGAGCAGGTATTAAATTTCTTCTAAAACTCCCAGACTAGTTTCATTTAGGTTTATAGATCATGATTACATGCCTGTATAATAACTCATATTTATATAGTACTTTAAAGTTTAAAAAGTGCTTTTCTCACAACAGCTCTGTGAAGGAGGTAGTACACATATTATTCCCATTTTACAAATGAGTAGACTGAGGCTCAGAGAGGTCCAATGCCTTATCTGTAGTCAAATAGCTAGTAAGCGTCAGAACCAAAATTTCAGCTTTGCTCTCCTTACTACAAAGTCAGCATTCTTTCTATTATGCTGTACTCCTCCTTTGTAGGTCTGTATCTTTTAGTGAAGTTCTTAGTTAAAGCAAAGCTTGTGGTATAGAGGTAACCTGGGAATCTAGAAGATTGTACCAGTAGAGCACATGCTCTGTCAGTTCTTACCAAGGTAAAAAGACTTCACACAGAGCTCTGTGACAGCTTCTATATCTCTTGTCCAAGAACTAGCCTTGACAGGTTTGGAGAGAATCATCAGTAAAAGACTGGCCAAGTTCGAGGATGTGGTGATTTGTCTTGTTTGTCAGTATTGTACTTGTTCTGAGGGAGGATGGAAGTGGGTGGGAAATGTCTTTGGAAAGTGAAAGTGATATTTAAAAAAAGAAAAAGTATCATTAAAACATTGAAAAAAAAATAAAAGATTGGCCACTAGGTGTTAGACTTTTTTGACCACAGCAACTCATAAACCATCTGTGAAAATGTGGAAAGGGAATCCACCTTAATAAAAGCATAATTCCTTGAAAATTTAAAGGATGTCTGTTATGCTTGCTGTGCTCTTACATTGTGTCTGGTGTGTTCTCCCTCAGGGAAGGCTACAATAATCCACCTGTCTCTGGTGAGAACCTAATTGGCCTGAGCAGAGCTCGGCGGCCCCACAATGCCATTTTTGTGAACTTTGAAGATGATGAAGTGCCCATGAAGCCACTGGAGGCTGCTGTACAGACCTGGAAGAGGCTGTGCACTAATCCCATAGACAGGAAGATGGAAGAGGAGCTGAGAAAGGTAGTAGCTGGAGCACTTTACACTGTGACACTTCATCAGAAGAAGCCCAGGCCTGCAATTAGCCACCTCTTATTTGCTCAGCTGTTTGGATTTGGGCATGTTTACTCCTTTTTTTTTTAATCATTTCATTAGCAGATGTGAATTTTTCACCTCCAGATTTCAGTTCTAAAAGTAATAAGTACTTCATCTTGTAATCTCAGGAGAACTCTTCCTTCACACTTCCACCAAGCAGCTTCTACTGGTGTAGACACCTGGAATAGGGGTGGGGTGGGGAGGAGTGCTTGGATTGTCCAAATGAAGCTTGTAATTGCAACTCCAGGATTTAATTAGTTCTCAGGTTCTCCCATTACTTCACATTCCCTTGCCCCTGACAAAGTTTGCATTATTTTATTAATTTGTATGTATTTGGAAATATCAGCATTCTGTTTTTCCATCTAGATTGTAAACTTCCTTTTCCTCTTGTTTTACAGTGCTTGGTGCACAAGTGAACAGTGAATCAATAGTCATTCACTGAATCAGGCCTTATTCTCTATTTAAGGGGAAGCTGAACTGAGGTTATGCATTTCCAATTTAATAGTTTCCTACTTGTTACCAGGACCAAAATAATGTATCACCAACTTAAATGATTTCTATTACTATTTCAAAGAGCTTAGAATGGAAAGAGTGTAAGCATTTTAGGCCATGATGTTATAGAGTGTGTTTAGCCCTTCCTGTGGCCTCCTTTTTTCCCTGATAGCAGTCACCAGCCACAGATCCCATGGTGTTCTAGAGTGTGTCTGTATTGGAACCTGTAGGTAATATTTTTTCTCTCCCCTTCCCCTTTTCCTAGCTGTTTGACATTCGTCCTATCTGGTCCCGGAATGCTGTCAAGGCCAACATCAGCGTCCACCCAGATAAACTCAAGGTCTTGCTTCCCTACGTGGCCTATTATATGGTGAGTATCCTAACATCTTTTATCTATTTCACTGCACCTAAGCTTTTTGTAATGCTTTGGTGCCCAGTAATTTAGAGTGGAAAGAGGATTTAGAAATCACCTACTTAAACAGTCATAGAATCATAGCAGTGGCCTTGGGATCATAACTCTAGAGTGAGAAGGGACCTCAGAGCAGTCCCTAATACTTCTGTTAACTTTACTGTGCAGTACTGTGCTCTTTCTCCATTTCTGCCCCCCTTCTCAGTGTTCCACAGCCTCCTGCTCCCTCATTAAAAAAAACCAAAAACTAAAAACAAAATCCACCAAGTGAAAGCAAAAGAACACACACGTAGAGAGACTGCCACCATGAGCTGAAAGGGGCTTGGCTTGAGACCTCTGGTGCCAGGAGAGGCATGTCTGGCCCCTATGTGGTTTTTTTTCTGTCCATCTGTGCTTGGGTACTGAATGTCTGTCCCTGGCCCCTTCATGTTACCTATCCTCTCTTGTCTGTGTCCATGTCTGGCTTCACCCTGTCTGCCCCCTTTGTATTCTTCCTCTTGGTTCCAGCCAGGCCCCCAGGTGGCTTGTCCTGGCTCTTGATTCTTTATTCCCGCCCCTCACATGTCCTGGCCCCCTCCCTCCATGGACAAGAGGCCCTTTCCTGCCTGCCTCTCTCTGTCCTTCCCTCTCTGGGAAAATTCACATTATGTAAAATCACTTTATGTAGAGGTATGTAGAAGAGTCCACTCATGTAAAGCAAGAACTGTTTGTGTTAGGAAGATTTCATTATCATGATCAGTGTGTACCTGAGGGAGAGCCTGGAATTTATTGGTTCTTCAGGATCTTGGCTCCTTAACCCACCTCGTGGAATTGTACCTTTGCAGATAACAGGTCCCTGGAGGAGTTTGTGGATTCGCTATGGATATGACCCCAGAAAAAACCCAGAAGCCAAGATTTATCAAGTCCTGGATTTCCGAATTCGCTGTGGAATGAAATATGGTAAAATAAACCACCACCACAACAATGAAAACCAAAGACAAAACCATGCCTCAGTTTGTTTGCTTTCTTTTAGTCTTTTTAGTTTCTTGTTTGTTCTACACTTATCCTCTTTTCTAATAGGGATGAATTTCTAACTCTCTATTACAGGTAGGCTAAGAATATTTTCCTGTGTTTGCTTAAATAAGGATCTCTTGGTAGTTTGGGTTTCCGATTCTCTTCAGTCCCAGTCTAGCATTTCTTATTATCTTGTGACTTTTCCTGATCCTAGTCTGTTCCTCTTTGAAGCCAGCTGTTTCTTTGTGCCCAACCTCATTTGCTGTTGTCTCCTTTATTTTCAGGCTATGCCCCCAATGACATGCCTGTCAAAGCAAAACGCAGCACCTACAACTACAGCCTTCCCATCACAGTCAAGAAGACTCGTAAGTAATTGTGGCTTTCTAACAAACAGAGGAGTGATCTGCCTTCAAGCCAGCTACCCAGAATGAGCCATGTGGGCAGACAAATGGGATTCAAATTGAGATCATCCTAGAATGGTACAAAGACTTGCTGTGGATTGAATGAATGAAAAAAACAACCCATTTATTAAGTGTTTACTGTGTACCAAACACTGTTCTAAGCATTGGGGCTACAAATAGAAAAAGCTAGACAGTCCCTCATCTCAAGTTGCCCCACAATCTAATTGAGGGAGATAGCCCAGAAAAGAACCTTTAACTACAGAGCACATCCAAAAGATAGGAAGTCCTCAGGTTCAGTGATGAGGTAGATGGCAAGGCCCAGAGTTCCATAGCTTACCAGTGCTAAGGGACTGCAGCAAGTAGAGGCAGAGCAGATGGTAAATCTTTCTATTTCACAGTGAATGGAGTTGTTAACATCAATATTATTCAAACTCTTTGAATGGTCTAGCAGCCCAGGCAAGGAGGAGCAATAGAGGGTAGGGCACTGCCCCCCAGTGGTAGCATTCTTCCTACTTGGCCATCCCAAATGGGTTGGGGAAGGCAAGTGTGAGACAAGAGATAAGGTCATTCCCTGGTAGCAATGGTTCTTTCCACCACCATAGGTTCAGATCTGGAATGATCTTTAATAGTAGCTAGTCCATTTTCTCATTTGGCAGATGATGAAACTGAAACTCTGCGATATGGAATGTCCTGTCCAAGGTTACACAGGTAGTAAGTAGCAGAGTCTGCATTTGAACCTAGCTTTTTTGATTCTGAATCTGATTTCCAGTGTGTGTACATCTCCACAATGACATCCACAAGGAATTCAATTCCATATATAAGAGATGATCAGCAGGAATGTAGGCATCAAGAGAGTAAGTGAAATTGAATATAATATTTAAGAGTGTTGAATTCCAAAGCTGCTTGTCTTCTCCCAGCCAGCCAGTTGGTCACCATGCATGACCTGAAGCATGGACTAGGCACATCGGGGACAGGGGGTATCAAGAAATCAGCCTCTAACAAGTACAAGCTCAAGGTGGGTGCTGTCTGCTTTGTCCAGAGCAATTATGGGAAGAGGGACAACTAACTTTGGTTTTTAATCTCTGCTAAGTATGAAGGCTGTGAATTGTACCCTTTCAGGGGACAGTCCTGTCTGTGGGTATTGCCAGTGAACTTCTGCAAATAAATGCCCTTTGGCCCTTTCAAACCTTGTTCATGAATACAGTTTTATAGTATTCAGGATAAAAATGCTGGGTGTAAGTGCTCAGTCAACAAACTGAGTATCCACTATTCACAGTACTAGGCAGAGAAGTTCAGTCAAAGAACAAATATTTATGTTCCTAGCCTTGTATTCCAAGGAGCCTTTAGTCTTGTTGGGAAGGTAAGGTATAACCGCATGAATCGGATAGGGAGTAGTATTAAAACACTGTGTCATCAAATACTATATTATGTGGTATAGACAGCAAGTGTTATAGAATTACAGAAATGGGAGAGAGAGATACCGTTTGGGACTGCAGCCTTTCTTTTATTTCCATCCTCTCACAAACCCACTGTTGTTTCTTCTCACCCCTGAATGCTATAAGACTGTAGTACCTGGAAAAGTATCTTTTGGTGGCTGGCACTGAGCTGCATATTATCTCTCTTTGGTGGTGAAAACACTGAGAGGAGTAGCTTCTATTAACCCTTCCTGTTTTTGTGTTCCCTCAGGACTCTGTGTATGTCTTTCGGGAGGGAGCCCTGCCACCGTATCGGCAGATGTTCTATCAGCTCTGTGATTTAAATGTGGAAGGGTATGATGAGGCCCTGGGTCTTGGGAGAAAGGGTCTGGGGAAACAGACTTCTGAACTTCATTGGGAATTTCTTCTCTGATACCTTTCCAATTTTTCAGACCCTTTTTCATCTCTGCTAGGAAGTTAGATTTCTGGCATGTTTGGTTGTGTTCAACTCCCAAAAGCTGTTCTCAACCAACTCACTGTGTAATACATTTCTCTTAAGCTAGTTAGTCTTTGTTAAAGCAGAAGGAATCAGGTTATACTACGTTTACTCCTGTTCATCTAGTTGATCACAGTGCTTCTCTGCCACATGCATGTGTATGGATGGGAATTTCTGAACTCAAATATGGCCGTTCCCCTTTTTTGATTAGTAGCTTTGTTTAGAGTGACCTTGGGAGACGGGGAGAGTTGCTGGTGAAAACTAGAACTTTTTGTGGATTCAGTTAATTGCACAAGGAGAGAGAGAACACCTTGTTCCTTATGACAAAATCACTGTCAGAAAAACAGAATCCAAAATGATTAGGCACATTTTTCCCTTTACCATCTCACAAACAGCCCATAGAAACTACACTGGCTGCCCTTGTTAGCACTTTCTTTGGACCCTTATTTGCCCACTGACCCAGCCCTGGCTGCTTGTAGGTTACAGAAGATCATCCATCGTAATGATGGGATGGAGACTGAGTGTACAGAGCGTGATGGATGGTGTCTTCAGAAGACCAGTGATGACCTGAGGGACACCATGTCCTTGATGATCCGGCAGATCATTCGCTCCAAGAGGCCGGGTGAGAAGCTCCTGGGCTCTCACAGTATGTTGAGCCCAACAACAGGGCTAGGTTCAAGGCCTGGCTTTATTGTTAAGTCATTTCATCTCTTTGGACCTCAGTTTCCCCATCTGTAAAGTAGGAAATTTGGACTAGATGATTTCTTAAGGTCTTTCTAGTCTTTCTCATATTTTAGAATTAATAATTTAGAATAATGTTGGCTCTTGGGGTAGCTTCTTATGGAACCAGATTTAGATAGTGTCAGGACCCCTCTTCACTCATGGGAACGGACTAGATGGGCATTATGTGATAGTTAAGCTACAGGACCAGCTCTTAGTGGCTTCTGAGAATTGGGTTTAATTTTCTCCTTGAGGTAAGAGTGAGACAAGAATTTAGCTGGTCTCATCATTCTATTTCTTCTTGTCCCAGACCCCTTCCCCTTCCCTGTTGATAAGCAGAAATGGCATGTGGGGGCCGAGGCTGTCACTGTCCCCCCATAGCACTATCACCCCTTCCATTTCCTTGGACAGTGCAGTGAGGGCGAAAGCCATAACAGGAAGGGAAGGGAAGGGAAAGAAAGAGGCCTGCACTGTGCTGTGCACATATTGAGAGCAGTGAAGGAAGCCAGGGTTTGGGAGACCCATCAATGCTTCATGCCCATGCATGACTCCTCCGCTTGTCAATAGGATCTCTGAGCCATATCTGTTCTTTTGGGTCAATGGGTTTGGGTAACTAAGGCAGCACATCCTTCTCTTTCTGTTTTGGACCCAGCTTTGTTTTCGAGTGCTGCCAAAACTGAAGGTGGAAAAGAACAGTTAACATATGAATCTGGGGAGGATGAGGATGATGATGAAGAAGAGGAAGAGGAGGAGGAAGAGGAAGAAGAGGAGGAAGAAGAGGAAGAAGACTTTAAGCCCTCAGATGGGAGTGAAAATGAGATGGAGACTGAGATTTTGGACTATGTGTAATGGGAGGAGGACACAGTCTATAGACCCCCTAACTTAGTCTGGGTATTGCTGTAGCTTTGCCTTGAGAAGGAAGCAGCTAAGAGTGCCAGATGGCATTTGCAGGGACTCTCAATGGGTGTAGCTCCCGTCTAGCCCAGGTCTCCTGGGACTATTCTGGCTTGTCTCATGTACTGAATAGTACCCCAAATTACTCATTCCTGGATCCTAAGAAATCCCCTTCAGCCCTCTAGCTTCAGTTATACCCTGCCATTAGACCATCTGTGATGCCATTATCCAGGTGTCATATGTGCCCACTGTCTCAAACACCCCTGTGGCTATTAGTAAATGTTATGAGGTGGAGACAGCGCAGCCTTTGGAGTTTCATGGAACAATAAAAGGTCAGATCATCCTCTTTTGTAGGTTGTGGACTAAAGGAGTATGACAAGAGTCCAGCAGGGACATGGCCCCTGAGCTTGGAGTGGTTACCCTGGATGGATAGGACCAAGGCAGTATGGGCAGTAGCTCCTAGGTGTTCTCAGTCTAGGATCTTTCGGCTGCTGTTGGGTTTGGTTGTGGCCAAGTTTTCTGTAATTCCTACAGGGATTATTAGCTCTGCTGAGAGCATACTTTCTTAATGGAAGTTTTCTTTAATAAATAATTTTTCCAAAGGACTGGATGATTCATATGCTAGAGTTTCTTTTTGTTTTTGTTTTTTTAATCAAAGTAGAGACTTCGGAAGGAATTTATCACTCCCTAGGGCCTATGGCTCCTCTTGTGTCTGTGAAGACAGCCATCTTTTATGGCTTGAAGACTTAAAACTAGTAAGAAATGAGAAGATAAAAGTAAATAAAATTACCAGAAGGACATCAAGAAAGATGAATTGCTGAATGCAGTTTTCCAGATCACCTCAACTTCTAGTCTAGGTTCTTTTGGGATTTAATAGGATTGTTGTCCCATCCTAGTTTCACCTCTAGATGTGGACCCTCTGTTCTCAGGGTCCACTGTCTTGCCTTGTAACTGCTCTGGCCCTTCAGCTTCTTGCCTGACTCTGAAAAATTTCTCACCTCTGCTTGAAGTCGTTTTGCTCTGACTTTGTTATATCCCTCTTGGAGGTATCTGAGGTAATGAAGGTGTTTTTTTCCTCTCAACCCATTTTTCTTTGATTTGATGCTTCCTCCATACTTTTTGTCTAATGTGACTTTTTTTTCTTTTAGTAATTGATGATATCTTCCCATTTAAAGTCTTCCTCTAATACTTTCTTGTGTTCTGAAGGTAACATTGGGTTTGTACCAGAGCACAAGCTCTGGCAGCAACTACCAAGTTAGAAAGGCTTTGTGTTTGACAGATTGTACGTCTGTGATCCTAAGGATCAGCCTGGCTTATCATCAGGCGTGCCTTAGCTGATACATTTTTTGGACACAGCGGCTTATTGTATTTTGCCTCTGTCTTGCAGGTCAAAGGAGTTTCCCCATTCACAGTTGCAAACCCTTGGTTCTCTTTCTCTTCTGCTCTATCCTACTTTACTTTAGGCTCCAACATGAAGATTGAAGGTTGTTGGAGCTAGAATGGACTTTGGAGACTGTTTAGTCTATAGCTCCCTCATTTTAAAGATGTGGAAACAGGCCAAGGTGGGGAAGGAACTTGAACTTTGTCTAAGGTCATACAAAGAGTTAGTGGCAATAGAACTAAAATCCCGGTCTCCTGACTCCTATTCCAGGCCTGTGTCCACCGTTCTACGCTCCCTACGATTCTTTAAATGCTATCAGACCAATTTGTTACTTTATCAGCTCTCCAAGTTCTAACTTGGTTATGTTATGTCCTATTCATTAAGAAAGAAGGAGGTCTGTAGCTTCAAACTCTTGCTGCCTCTCCCAAACCTCCCATCAGAACAGCTAAAACCTAGTAACTGGACTAAGGCTAATTTCTTCTCTTTTATTTTTCCTACTCACTCTCTGGATGAGAATTTCATGTGTCATAAAATAGCTGCCAAGGAGAAATGAGCAGAGAATGCTGAAATGATCCAAGTTTCTCATCAGAAAGTTATCAGTCAATAGGTCTAGTGAGTGCTTATTTGGGCTCATCATTGGACTAAGTGCTGTGATATGGGGAATTGTCCCTGTTCTCATGGAAATTATAATCTAGTTGGAAAGTTGGAAAGATATAATTCATAAAATTATAATGAATAGTAATGCATGTCAGTGTTTAATCAAGTGCTTAATTGTATGGTAAAGACCTTAAATGCTGGTCATTTAGAAGAAAGGGTGATCAGTGAAGAATAATTGGGGGAAATTTCAGAAAGAAGGCAGGATTTGACTTGGCCCTTGAAGCCTGATACAGTTGAGGTAAGGGGAGGGGAGACTGGCTATTGTCAGAGATGGTACTTGAAAGTTCTAATGCCAATTGTCCTTTTTTTCTTTCTTCATGACTGTTTCCTGGTAACAAACGGCTTCAGACCAAGCTAAGTCAGTCCAGTGTTCAGACAAATAAGTGAACATTTACCGAGCACTTACTGTGTATGGGGCCCTGCAGTAGTTACTGGGGCTTGAGGAGGGGATGAAGAGAAGAGGGTTTGCTTCCTATACAGTACTGGTAGAGGAGACAAGGTATATACGCAAAAAGTTAACTAGCAATAAAGGTGCTGTAGATGTGCCCATGACTATTTAACTTTAAATAATAAGAACTCAGAAGGGAAATAAATGTGGGGGCTGAGAAGGCTTTATGGAGAAGGTAGGGCTTGAACTGGGCCTGAGAGGATTTAGAAAGGCAAGTGGAAAAGCACATCAGAGGTCTAATGATAGGAATGTCCATGGCCTGGTCATAGAAAAGAGACCCATATGACTGGAACCTAAATAGAGAAGAAGCAGTAGAAATAAAGTTGGAAAGATAGGGTCTGGCCAGCTTTGGGGATGCATTGAGTACCAGGCAAGGAGGTTGAGTTGAAAATCAGAGCACAAAGCTTGATCACTGACCATAAAGAAAGAGTACTGACTTCCTTTTCAAGGCAAATCTCTCAAGTCAAATGAGAGTGGTTCCAAGGGGTTGGTGGTGAAGGGTAGGATAAGGAAGAGCAAACCAAGGGTTAGTATAAGAAGTTGGGCAGAAGGTACTATTAGACTGGGAACTGTGTGTGACCAAAACAGGAGGATTCCAAGAAGTGCCCTGGGCAGGGGCTTAAATTAGAAAGCTTTGACAAGGCTTAAAATGATTGATGGTGTTCTAAGGGCTCCCTTGCTGCGCTTTCACTGGCTATTCTCTCCAGAGCCAAACATTTTTGTACTAGCTCATTGTAGCCTGGGCTTGGGGATCTTCATAACTCTGACACCCTGTACTATACAATCAACAGGGGCTAGGGCTCTTTCCGATAGCTCGTCTCACAACTTTCACACTGGTAAGAATTTCCCTTTCACTGGGGACTTTACAATATTGGTCTGAAATCAGAGCCCTAATAGCAGAAGACAAATGGAGTTTTCCCCACCCCCTCATATGTGTGTGTATTTGTGTGTATGTGTATGTGTGTATGTAACATGCTTTCTCTCCATAGTACCCATTCTTTCTGTGCCTCACCTTACAATTCCCATCTGTCACCAGGAAATGCATCTGACATCTCCACATCTCATCAGTTTCTCCCCTGGGCCAAACCTTTCCCTGTCCCAGAATGACTGTCAGCAGCCATTTTTCTGTGGCTCTGCTGCCTTTTCCTTGTCCCCAAGTGAAAAGATTGCTAGTTTTGGCTTAGCTTATAAGCATCTGAGGGAAGATGCCTTTTAGCTGCTTAAGTCTCTTTCCTGGACAAGATCTACCAGTGTGTAACCCATTGCCATCCTTCCCTGCCACAGGTCCCCCTTGTGGATTTAGTGAAACAACTGACGTAACTCCAGCCTAACTTCTTTTTTGAATAACTTTCCATTGTGGTCAGTTTAGATGTGCTCAGGGAAGGCACATTTGTTTAAATATAAAACTTTGAACAAAAGGAGTATAATTAAAATAGTACAGAGGAAGCTCTGGACTGGGAGTCAGAAGACCTAGGTTATGTTTCTGGATCTGCCACTAATGGATTGTGTGACTCTGGGCAAGTAACTTGCCCTTCCTGGCACTTATTTTCTCCATCTACAAAACAAGATCACTGAACTAGACAATCTCTAATGACTCTTTTGTCCTCTAGTTCTAGAATTAAGGTGTATCTGCCCTACCCTTAGGCTCAGAATTGAAAGGAACCTCAGAGATCTTCTAGTCTAAGCTATATCCAAGCAGGAAGACCCTCTACATATTTTACAAATAATCACCTGCCTTCCTGTTGAACACCTCCAGGGATGGGGGTTCGTGGCTCTAATTGTCAAGAGGTTTTTCTGAACATTAAGCAAAAAAGTCTACCTTCTTATAGCTTTTCAGCCATTATTCCAAGTCCAGCCCTGAGGAACAAGCAAAGCAATCCTTCTACATGTCAGTCCTTCAAATACCTGAAGACACAGGGCAGCTAGGTGGCACAGCGGATAGAGCACCAGCCCTGGAGTCAGGAGGACCTGAGTTCAAATCCGGCCTCAAACACATAATACTCACTAGCTGTGTGATTCTGGGCAAGTCATTTAATCCCAATTGCCTCACCAAATATACCTGAAGACATCATATCCTCCTAGTTCTTCTCCCTAGTTCCTTTAGTCAGTCCTCAGTTCTTTCCCCTTCTTGGTTATCCTCTGGACAGTTTCTCCATGACTTCCAGAAATGTGGATCCCCAAATGGAACAGGTGTGTCCTGACCAGGACAACCCTCTCTCCTTCCAGTCACTAATCATATTCAGATGTATCTGTGAGCTTATTGATGTTGGTCAACAAACATTTATTAGATGCTCAAGCACTTAGTAATGCTAGATACTTGTGCACTATTGATATTCCTTCCACTGTGGCAGATTAGAACCCATCCATGCTTGCCGATCCTGTGTAACTCCTGTCCATATCCTTCCCTAAGATGGACACCCAACGAGCTGGGGCCCTTCCTCACTTTCTCCTGACATCATGAGGATTCTAGGGGAGCCAACATGTCCATTGGTTATTGCTCTTCCCATATGGCCACCCTCTCTTTTTGGATTATACATTTCTTTGTTGTCATCCTTTACTCTGGTTCTTCATAGTTCCTTATTTGCTATAGATTGTAGTCTATTCATACCTACTATGTGTTTCTTTATTGCTCTGTGGTACTAATTTTTAATTCTGCAGAGACTATAATGTTCTGTGATGCTTTTGTTTTTCTTTGCATCCCCAATCTTAGCACAGTACCTGTCATATAGTAGGTGCTTAATAAATGCTGTTGATTTTCTGACTGACTTATAGCCATACAACAACACTGGCAGAATATTATTGTTAAAAAGATGCGTCTGTTGAATGTTGGCTGTCTTTGTCACCCTGTTGATTCTTATTAAGTTTGCTAAAACCTTCATATAGTTTCCCAGTCTCTGTTGATTTTTTTAAATTAAACTTTATATTTATCTCTATTATTTCAGTTTGCTGTAATCTTTTTGGATCTTGATTCTGTCATCCAATGTATTTAGACCCAAACACAAAACCTGAACAATTCATTCCAGAAAAGCAAGACCACATAAATGAGATATTAGTCACTACTTTATACTGTCTACTGCTCTGAACTGTCTACATTATGACATTTGTAGCAGATCACTGAGAGTTCCCCATAATGGATACCCATCTGCCTGTGGGGCCCAAGTAGGAGCCCTACCAGATCTGGGGCCTACCCTCTGGGAGAGCATATGCTAATAATTCATTCTGGTTTGGTAGAACTCGGGGAGGTAGGAAGGGAATGGAGCCCCAGTGCAAGTTCCATTTCCCTGATATAGAAAATGGAGGCTGAAACTCTAATAGTAGGTGCCAGAATTATCTTAGTGACCCATACCCTGCTTGATTTAGTGACCTTTGCCCCATTGCCACCTGTGTCTGCTTCCAGGTAGGCAGAGACATGCACAGGTGTAATGCTAGCAATTAGGTTTTGCCTGAGGGCTCTTAGGCGTGGGAAAATATGTGTGTGTTTTTTAGCAACCTTGGCTCTCTCAGTACTCTTTCTGCTCCCTTCCCCACCCCACCCCCACCCAGAGAACAGTAAATTTGTCTTTCTAGTTAGGTACCACCCCAAGTGAGTGGCCCCAACATGGGGTGGAGTGAGAGGTGGAGGAAACGAGGGCTACTCTATTATCAGACAGCTGCCAAACTTGGCTTCTCATACACTATATATGCCTAACAGCCCTAGCTGGGCAGCCAGTGGGTACACACACACACACACACACACACACACCATGGGGCACCCAGAGTTGGTGGTTGTCAGCCTGATCTGTTGCCTAGCAGCTACTAGTGCAGCAAAGGTAAGTAGGGACTGAATAGAAATTGGGAAATTCTTTGGTGATAGGAACAATAGGATGTTTTTTTTTCTTCCTGCTAAGCCAAGGTCTTCTTGAGACTCAATAATATATAATAATGATAGTTTATATTCTATAATGCTTTGGCCCTTTCTTCCCAACAAGGAACTCCTATAAAGTAATTAGTATAAAATGACTGTGACTTCCATTTTAGAGACAGGAAAACTGAGGCACACTCAAAGGTAAGATTTGCTCACAATCACCCAACTAGTAATTAGTGGAAGGCAGGACTGAAACCTAGGTTTTTTGCTACCAGTGTTTTGTCCTTTTTATTGTGCCATTCAAATTTCTCAATCTTCAAATATGCCTCCCCTCCCTAATCATAGCATTTCAGAGTGGTAAAGGACTTCAGTAGACATTTAGTTCAACTCATGCCAGAGCAGGAATTCTTGCCACAAGTTAACCTAGTCTCTGCTTGAAGACATCCAATGAAAGGCCACCTGCTATGTCCCAAAACTGCCCCCATCACATATGAAAAGGGCCCCCTTATTCTTCCTCTCAGGCTGCCCTTCTCTCGGATCTGTTCCTCTTCCAAGATGCCCCTGATCTTATCTGGGCACTGGGATGTTTAGTAAACTGGGGTGTTTAGATGGAACTGGGGTGTTTAGTAAAGAGAGGGAACAGCACTCACAATTGAATAAGTTCTTCTATTCATTGAGTGCTTACCAGATGCTGTTGGTCAGACTTTCTGGGGGAAGGAAGGGAGGGAAGGAGGAAGAAAGAAAGGAAGAAGGGGAGAGAAGAAGGAAGGAAAGAAAGGACAGGAGTGAGGTAGGGAGGGGAGACAGAGGACAAAGGGAAAGGTTGAAAGAAGGTAGATGGGAAATGTGGCTGTGGGCTCTTTGGCCTCTGGTCTTCTTAGTCTTGATTTTCCTCTTATTCATAAGAAATTAAGGAGTAGAGGATGGGAAAGTAGACGCTTGGAAAAGCCACTGAGCAGATGTAAGAAGCAGCAGGAACCCGCCTCCCCCCTTTACTTGGGTCTCAAGGCTTCCTTGTTTCATGGGACAGGGGTGCCTCCAAGATGACAATGGGGTAAAGTCACCTTCACCGTCAAGGGAAACACTGGGGAACCTGCCCTACTGATCTTTGGGAGTCAAGGAAGGAGCCAGCAGTGTTTTGAGCCCTTGGACACTGCCCACTCAGATCCAGAATCATAGGATTTTATCATTTGAAGTGACATGAGAGGTCATCTGGCCCAACCCATACCACCCATACCTGAGCAGGACTCCCTGTATGATCCCTGACAAGTGAACTAACATTTGCTTGGAGATCTCTAGGGAAACCTGCCACTTCCACAGGTAGCCCCTTCCACTTTATTTATTTATTTATTTTTTGCTTAGGAAGTTGGGGTTAAGTGACTTGCCCAAGGTCACACAGCTAGTAAGTGTCAAGTGTTTGGTCTGAGGCTGAATTTGAACTCAGGTCTTCCTGACTTCAGGGCCGGTACTCTATTCACTGCACCACCTAGCTGCCCCCCCCTTCCACTTTAGACACTTTTTTCTCTTCCACAGAGCCCAAATCTTTCTTTCTACAACTTCTCCCCATTCCTCCCAGTTCTACCCTTTGGGCCACACAAAAAGTCTGATAATCCCACTTCCACGTAATTGCCCTTCAGCTACTAGAAGACAGCCATTATGTGTCCCTTAAGTCTTTTTGCCAGGCTAAATATTTAATTTAACTTAATTTAATGAACATTTTCAAGTGCTTAACACCTTCAAGGTCCCATAGATATAGAAATAGATAGTTAACAATATATGACCCTTGAAGAATTTACAGTCTACAGGTTATAATCCCCAATTCCTATCCTGCTTTATATCTCTAGTTCTTTCAACTCCTGCTCACAAGATCATTGGACTTTAGAATTAGAAGGGACTTCAGACATCATCTAATCCCATTCCCTTATCTTCCAAATAAAGAAAACAGGGAAAAGGAGGAAGTGACTGGCCTAAAGTCATAAAGGTCGTATGAAGCAGAATTGGGATTGACTCAAGGTCTTCCACTCCCAATTCACTGCTCTTTCCACCACCCTAGACTTTCTCTGTAACATGGTCTGAACCTCCTCTTCGACTTGGTTGCATCCCTCCTAAAATGTAACACCCAGAACTGTACATAATATTCCAGATTGAGGAGAGAACAGAAGGAGCTGCCACCATCTCCCTCGTTCTCCCCACTGTGTATCTATTAATGCAACCTAAGATCATATCGGCTTCATTGGCTGCTACATCACATTGCAGACTCATACTGAGTTTGTAATCTACTAACCTCCCCTCCACCCCAGCTATTTTTCATGCGAGCTTCTTTCTAGCCACACCCACCCCTTTCAACCCTTCCCATTCATAGGCGATGACTTTTTTCTTAAAACAAGTACAAAATTTTACATCCTTGTTCAACTCATCCTTAGATTCAGGTCCATCATTTCAGCCTAATTTAATAGATACGTTTCTCCCATCTGTCCTCTTATTTCCATTCACTTGGGCACTAGCCTAGCAAATCCATTATCAACTCACTTTTGACTACAATAATAACCACTTAATTTGTCTCGCTGCTTCCAGTCTCCTTTCCCCCTTTATTCGGTCCTCCACACCACTGACTGACAAAATAATCTTCCTAAGGAAAGAGTCTGCCCATGTCATTTCCATGCTCAAAAGCTGTCAGTGGCTCCCTATGACCTCTAGGATGAAGTACCAAATCTTCAGCCTGGCTTTTAAGGCTCTCTACATTTTGGCTCCTTGTCTACCTTTCTAGCCACATTTGGTTTTCTGTCCCTTCAGGATTTAGAGCTGGACAAGACCTCAAGAGATCACCTTGTTCTATGTCCTCATTTTACAAATGAGGGAACTGAGATAATAGAGAAAGAAAGTACCTTGCCCAGAGTTACATAGCAGAACTGGGATGCTAAACCACATCTCCTGATAGTAAGGCTGGTGCTTTTCCCAATATTTTACCGCAAGTTAGCGGTAGCCTTTCCTTTAGAAAACCTCTACTACAAACTACTAATACCTGGAGACTGGGATCTTAATAACCCAGTAAGTAATCAGGTCTAGGAACCCAAGACCAAATAGAGTTTTCCTGGGTTCAGTGTAGGGTCCATCTATTACACTTTCATTTAAAAAAAAAATTAGTTTAGCAGTTAAGTGCCATCAGTGGGACCGGAGTCAGGAAGACCTGAGTTCAAAACCAACCTCAGACACTGTGACTCAGCTCTGTGACCCTGGGCAAGTCACTTGCTCTGCTCCAGCAGTTTCCTCAACTGCAAAATAGGGATAATAACAGGATCTACCAACCTGCAGGGTTGTTGTGAGGATCAAATGAGATAATATTTGCAAAGCACTTCACACAGTAGGTGATGTATAAACACTTACTCCTTTCCATCCTTTCCTAGTTGGGAGCCATCTACACAGAGGGGGGCTTCGTTGAAGGTGTCAATAAGAAGCTGAGTCTCTTTGGTGACTCAGTGGATATTTTCAGGGGCATCCCCTATGCTGCTGCCCCCAAAACCCTGGAGATCCCTAAGCGCCACCCTGGATGGCAAGGTGAGAGAGTAGGAAACACCGAATTATAGGAAGTGATCAATTCCATGAGCCAGGGGACCCACCCATCTTCAGACTTATTTCTCCCTTTTCCCTATAGGAACCCTGAAAGCCAAGGAATTCAAGAAACGATGCCTTCAAGCCACCATTACTCAGGACAACACCTACGGCAGTGAGGACTGCTTGTACCTCAACATTTGGATCCCACAGGGGAGGAAGCAAGGTCAGGGCTGGGGGAAGGGAGACTGGAAAGTGCAGCCTGTCTACACTGGCACAGAAACCCTCTCTTTTCCAGTCTTTTCCTTTCCTCCTAGGAGGAAAGAACTCTGGAATTTTAGATCTTCAAATAGATCTAGCATCTATTTCCTGAAATTCAATTCAATAAACATTTATTAAGTACCTGCTTAAAAATGAATGAAACCCTGTGTAACGCACTGATGATAGATTAAAAATAGCACAGCCTCTCTCCTAAAGGAACTGTCTAATGGGGATGGGGTGGGTTGTGACAGATAGCAGAATAAGTCCAAGAGAGGTCCAGGCAAAGTTCTATGAAGAGGAAGAGAGGTCACTTTCCTCTGGAGTTGGTCGTGGAAAGCTTTATAGAGAAGATGGTACCTGAGTTGGGCTTTGAAGGAAGGATGAGGCCTCAGTAGATAGTGGATGGGTGGCTGAAGATAAAGACTATTCTAGGGGTCTAGGGTGAGCAAAAACATGGAGGCTAGAAAGCATAGGATAAGAATAAAGCAAGACAAGTAGTCCTTTTTCACATACTGGAATGGTATGTGAAAGGGATCATTATTACATAAGGCTGGAAAAGTAGGGTGGAACCAAATTGTGAAGGGCCTTGAATTTCATGGCCCGAAATTTATACTTTATTCATTGGGAAGTGTAGAGTTACTGAAGGTTGGCTTACTGTTGCCAGGAAACCCAGAGACTTAGAAGAAGAGGCTGAGATTAGAAGGGTAAGCCTGGACTATGCAGTCCAAAGAAGAGTTTATGTCTGAGTAGGGGGAGGTCTGCTCGTTTCTGATCCCAGGACTGAGATTCTTGAGAATAGTCTCTGCTCCCTGTCCAGTCCTCTGAGTAGCAATCCCCTCATCCCAAGTTCACCGTCCCTAGATCCAACATTCCCTCCCTTTCATACTCCCATGGGAGATTCCAGCCTGTGCTTGGGATCACAATGCCACATGTAGCATAGTCTTTTTCTGTCCCTCTGTAGTGGGAAGAGGCCTAGCCCTAGCTCAGGGCTTCTTTCCCCAGTGTCAGTCCAATTCTCCCCTTACCTCTCATTCTTTCTTGTCTCTTTCTTTAGTTTCCAGCAACCTGCCAGTCATGATCTGGATCTATGGTGGGGCCTTCCTGATGGGGGCAGGCCATGGTGCCAATTTTCTGAAGAATTACCTGTATGATGGGGAGGAGATTGCCACCCGAGGAAATGTCATTGTGGTCACCTTCAACTATCGTGTTGGGCCCCTGGGCTTCCTCAGCACTGGAGACTCCAATCTGCCAGGTACTTGCTGGCCCTTTAAGGTCTTGGAGGAGGGAGAGCAAAGAGTAGAGCAGTTATTGTATCCCACACAAATTTTTGTCCTGTAGGAGCTTTCCTCCCTTTCCTGGGAGCTGTTCCTATTCCTATTTTCTTGAACCTAACAACTAAACTAAACTGTCACTGTTATATAAAATCCTAGAATGCCAGGGATGGGTGAGTAGGACTAAAGTTAGGGTAGTCATAGAATGTTACAGCTGGAAGGGACTTGAAATAACATCCGGCCAGGTCCACCAGGGAGACTGAGGCCAACAGGACCACCCTGAGGTCAGTCAGTTAACAAGAATTTATTAAGTGCTTACCATGTGCCAGGCAATGTTTTAAAGACTGGAGTTACAACAAAAAGGCAAAAACTTGGTCCCTGCTCTCATGGAACTCACATTCTAATGGAGAAGACAACATAACTAAGTACATACAAGATGGGCAGCTAGGTGGCACAGGGGATAGAGCACTGGTCTTGGACTCAGGAGAACTCATCTTTTTTTTTTTTTTGGTTAGGCAATGGGGTTAAGTGACTTGCCCAGGGTCACACAGCTAGTTAGTGTTATATGTCTCAGGCCGGATTTGAACTCAGGTCCTCCTGAATCCAGGGCTGGTGCTCTATCCACTGCGCCACCTAGCTGCCCCAGGAAAACTCATCTTCATGAGGTCAAATCCAGCCTCTGACACTTACTATCTGTGTGACCCTGGACAAGTCACTTAACCCTGTTTGCCTCATTTTCCTCATCTGTAAAATGATCTGGAGAAGGAAATGGCAAACCACTCTAGTATCTTTGCCAAGAAAATCCCAAAACGGAGTCATGAAGCATCTGAAATGACTGAAACAACTGAACAACAACACATACAAGATACACACTGGAAGGTAAATTGAAGATAATCTCAGAGTGGAAAGCACTAGCAACTAGAGGGATGAGAAAAGGCTTCCTAAAGAAGCTGGGGTTTGAGTCGAAGGAAGCCGAGAGGAGGAAGAACATTCAAGGCCTGGGCCAACAGCCAGGACAAATGCATACAGTTGGGAGGTGGAGTATCTGTTCTGTGTTAGGAGCAGCAAGTAAACCAGTGAAGTTGGATTGTAAAAGAATTCATGGTGGGGATTAAAGTATTAGAAGAGTAGAAAGGTAGAAAGGGTTCAGGTTGTGATTTCATGTTTGATCCTGGAGGTAATAGAGAGCCACTGAAATTCACTGAGTAAGAGGAGAGGGATAACATGGTCAGATCTGCGCTTTAGGAAAATCACTTTGGCGGCTGAGTGGAGAATGGATTGGAGTAGAGAGAGACCAACAGTAGAGCTGAGGAAGCTATTGCAATAGTTCCGGTATGTAGTGATGAGGGCCTATGTTAAGATGCTCTAACTGGTGAAAAGAAGACGTACAGGAGAGATGTGATGGTAGAAATGAAAGGATTTAACAACAGGTTGGGTGAGTTCATGTGAGGAGTTGAGGATGACACCAGGGTCGTGAGCCTGGGTGACTGGGAAGACAGTGACGTCTTTGAGAGTGATAGGGAAGTTCAGAAGAGGGGAAGGTTTAGAGGAAAAGATAAGGAATTCTGTCTAGAATGCTGATTTTTTTTTTTTAGTCAGTTGGGGTTAAGTGACTTGCCCAGGGTCATATAGCTAGTAAGTGTCCGGTGTTTAGTCTGACACCACATTTGAACTCAGATCCTTCTGTCTTCAGGGCTGGTACTCTATTCACTGCGCCACCTAGCTGCCTCTAGAATATTGATTTTTTGAGATGCCTATGAGACATCCGTTTTGAGATGTCCAAAATTCAGTTGACAATTCAGAACTGGAGCTCAGGAGAGAGATTAAGGCTAGATATGTTGATTGGGAAACCTAGCTCAATTTGGACAGGCCCAGCACCAAATTGGTTGCCAAGGGATGAATTTCTCAGTCATAAGAACTCTTAAAAACTAGCTATTACTAAGTCATAGAAAGCTTTGATCTTTATTAGTGGAGGGAGGTATACCCCCAGATGAAACCATAGGTCACATATATGTATATAAGCATATATTCATGTGTATGTATGTACATGTGTATGCACACACACATACATATGTTTGTGTATATACAGACAGACATGACCTTGGACAAGTCACTTAACCTCTCTGGGTCTCAGTTTCCTCATCTGTAAAATGAGGTGGTTAGACTAAATGACTTCTATGGTCCTTTCCAGTTCTAACTCTATGATCCTATGTATATGTACGTGTGTGTACATGTGTGCACATGTATGTATTTGTACACGATGTTAAGGAATTGAAAGGGCATCGAATGACTCTGAAGGAAGTCTGGTCTGTTTGTTTCTGAGCCCAAGGCAGACTAGTGTTGCTCAGTATTCAATACCTTCTTGTTTTCCTTTCCTGCCCCCGCAACAGCAATTCCCTCATTCCAAGGTCAAGGTGCCCAGTCCTACCACAATGTGTGTGTGTGTGTATGTATGTATGTATGTATGTATGTATACAAATCTAGCATTAAACCCACCACACATGTATAAATATGAATATATGTACGTACTTATGTATACTCACATATATGTATGCTTTATAAATATTATTATTGTAGGACTTGAAAATCACTTTGTATCAATAGTAATAAAGGGCAGAGAAGGGCAAAAAGACAAATCGGGGGGCCTAGTTCTGCCCTTCCATAGACTATTCTCCAAAAAGCAAAGTCTTTGTTTGAAATCTTAGTTGAGTTTTCACTTTGGGGTCCTTCACCTGGAAGGAGGGGGAGAGGGCTTGGAAGTTAACTGAACTGGATAGGGTGGGCCTGAAGTGTATAAATATGGCCTCAGACACTTACTGACTGTGTGATCCTGAGCAAACCATTTAGCTTCTATCTGCCTCAGTTTCCTCAACTGTAAAACAAGGATGATGATAATAATAGCACCCACCTCACAGGGTGGTTGTGAGGATTAAATATTTATAAAACACTTAGCATAGTGCCTGGCACAAAGTAGGCACTTAACAAATGCTTATTTCCTTCCTTCCTTTTTTCCCCTGCCAGGTAACTTTGGCCTTTGGGATCAGCACATGGCTATTGCATGGGTGAAGAGAAACATCAAAGTCTTTGGTGGGGACCCCAACAACATCACCCTCTTTGGGGAGTCAGCTGGTGGCGCCAGTGTCTCCCTCCAGGTCTGGGATTTTGTTGAAAGTTAGAAAGATCTGCTTCAATCCTCCCTCCCTCCCTCCCCCCTTCCTATGCTCCCATAGTTCCACTGTTCTCCAAAGGGGTTGGGGGAGGGGAGTCCAACAGACATCTGTCCTATGACATGCTCCTGTGAGCAGCCCCATTCTGCTGTCCTGGGTGTGAGCCATGCGAGAGGTAGGAAACAAAGAGGCAGAGGGAATGATGTAAGGCTCATCTCAGGGAAGGACAGGATTCCTGAGATTGCACTTCATCCCACCCTAAGCCAGGAGGCATAAATTGTGGCATAGTCTGTGCTTGCAGCACTCTCTGTGTCATGGCTTTCAAGAGAAAAATGGGAAGAAAAGAAAATAGGAGGGAGAGAAGGAAGAAGAGAGAGGAGTGAGAAGGAGGAAGAGGGAGCAGAGGGAAGAAGAAAGGGGGCCAAGGGATAGGGAACTTTGGGTCCCACCTGAACCAGTGCCTTCCTGTTGCAGACACTAACCCCCCACAACAAGGGCCTCATCAAGAGAGCCATCAGCCAGAGCGGTGTGGCCACAAGTCCTTGGGTCATCCAGAAAAATCCCCTCTTCTGGGCCCAAAAGGTAAGAAACCTGCGGCTAGAGGCCATCTCTGCCCTACTGGGGTGGGAGCAGGGTAGAGCTGGGCAGCTCAGCTGGTCTGGATCAGCATCAAGCTAGATGCTTCCTTCATTTGCATGTAATAGGCACAACACTTGGAGTATTTACTGCATGCCCAGAAATCTTTCTCCAAACTCAGGGGTAACTACCAAGTCAGAGAAACTATCCCAATCTAAAAACATACTGGTTGAACTCTTCCCCCAGGTACCCATCCTCTCCCTTCTCCAATCTTCCTTGAGGGTGGGGGAGGAACTTGCCACTCAAGGCTGAAGATTCTAGGAGGGGTTCCTCTTTCTAACAGATTGCCAGCAAGGTGGGATGCCCATTGAATGATACCGCCAGGATGGCCAACTGTTTCAAGGTCACTGATCCCCGAGCTCTGACTTTGGCCTATAAGGTGCCTTTGATTGGCCTGGAATGTGAGTGGGGACTGTTTAGGAGTGGGTGGGGGAGGGTGGTGCACACTGCTGTCCAAATTCTGAGCCTCAGTTTCCCTTCTTTGCTAAATGAGTGGGCTGGATGAAGCAATTTCTAAAATCCCTCTGACTCTAACATTCCTGTTCTGAGAGACAGTTTTGGGGGACTCAATCATAAATGAGAATAGAACATTAGAATTCATAATACTTGTAGCAACATAAAATAACAACAATGTGGTTCATTTTGTTTATAACTAACCACACCAAAAATATTAATAGTTTGGATTTTTGTAGAGCTTTCTTTCTTGCAGATCTCCAGATTTGTGGTGGTATTTATTTAACTACTGTCTCAATTATCACAATTATCCATTTAGTACCCCAGGATCAGTATAACGAATAGTTCTTTGATTCCAAGGACAGAATGAAACAAATTATCTTAGTCTGCAGTAAGAGGGATTTAGTTTAGACATAATCTGAGAGCAACTAGGTGGCGCAGTGGATGATAGAGCACTAGCCCTAGAGTCAGGAGGACCCGAGTTCAAATCCAGCATCACACGTGTAACACTCACTAGCTGTGTGATTCTGGACAAGTCACTTAATCCTGATTACCTCGAAAAAAAAAAAAGACATAATCTGAATGAAAATTATACCCATCTCTAAAACACAGCCACCTCCCTAAAAGGCAGAGAGAAGGACTAGATGGAAGGTCTTCTAATCACTTCCTGTTTCTCCTTTACCTGTCCCAGACCCTGTGCTGCATTATCTGGGCTTTACACCAGTCATTGATGGAGACTTCATTCCTGAAGATCCGGTCAACCTCTTTGCAAATGCGGCTGACATTGACTACATTGCCGGCACCAACAACATGGATGGTCACATGTTTGCCATGGTGGATATGCCTGCCATCAACATGGCCTACAAAGACATCAAAGAGTGAGTAACTAGCAGACCTCCAGAAGGTCAGGCCTGCTGTATGTGTAAGGGGATGACTACGGAGGGGTGGACATAAGGGAAACTCACTCAATGGTCCCATTGAAAGCAAAAGCAAAAACTTAGTAAGCATTTATGTGTCCAACCTAGTGGTAAGCATTGAAGAGGAAACAGGTGAATAGGACTGTATCCCTTCCTTCAGGGAATTTGCAGTCTAATTGAGGAGAGAAGACATAAATAGATAAGCAGCTAATAAAAGCAGATGAAGACAAGAACAGAAAACTGTTGATCATCAAATAAATGGAACGGACAATGAGTGCTCTAGAATTTCATGGTGGAGGGCTCATTCTGGGCTGGTATGGTTGGGAGTTAAGATTTTAACTAGATCTTGAAGGATATTGGAAGGGAATTCCAAGCAAGTACAGGAGAAAAAGTATGGAGATGGGAGAACACATTAATGTTTGGAAAACAAGGAGACCTGACTTGGTTATTGCTCTAGAATTAGAGTAGGTCACAGAAAAACATTGGACTTCTTTGGAGGGTAGCCAACCATGTTTCCAGTGGCCTGAATTAGGAACCTGTTGTAATGGCACTTTTTTTCAGGGGAGATGGGGGAAAAGCCCAAGTCTTTGGACCTTCTGTTCTTAAGCCTGATCACTTAGTTATATGCCCAGTTGGTTCTGAGAAGGGTATCAGGTCAAAGAAAAAGGAAAAGGACCTATATGTACAAAAATTTTTATAGCAGCACTTTTTGTGGTGGCAAAGAACTGGAAATTGAGGGGATGTCCATCAACTGGGGAATGGCTGAACAAGTTATGGTATATGATTGTGATGGAATACTGTTGGGCTATAAGAAATGATGAGCAGGCAGATTTCAGAAAAACCTGCAATGTGAAGTAAGCAGAACCAGGAGAACATTGTATACACTAGAAGCAGCAATATTGTACAATGATCAACTATGAATGACTTAGCTATTCTCAGCAATACAATGATTCAAGACAATTCTGAAGGACTTATGACGGAAAATGCTATCCACCTCCAGAGAAAGAACAGATAGAGTCTGAATGCAGATTGAAGAATACTTTTAAAAACTTTCATTATCTTTTTTGTTCTGTGTTTTCTTTCACATGGCAATATAGAAATATGTTTTGCATGACTGCACATGTATAATCTATATCAAATTGCTTGCCTTTTCAAGAAGGGGAGAGGGGAAGGAGGTAAGGGAGGGAGAGAATTTGTAACACAAAATTTAAAAAAAGAATAACAAAAGTTGTTTTTACACATAAGTGGGAAAAAATAAAATATTTAATAAAAACAGAAAAATGGATTATAGGCTTGCCTTAAAAAGAAAAGAAAGAAAGGTATCTGATCCTAACTATGCCTATTTTTTCACTGTAGTGAAGACTTTTACAAGCTAGTCTCTGGCCTCACCCTAACGAAAGGTCATCCTGGTGCCACTGCCGCCTTTGACTTCTACACCCAATTCTGGAAACAAGACTCATCCCAAAAGACCAAGAAAAAGACTGTGGTGGACTTTGAAACTGACATCCTCTTTCTGGTGCCCACAGGGATTGCCTTGGCCCAGCACTTTGCCAATGCCAAGTGAGAGCATCCTGCTTGTGTGACTTAATCAAGGGGGCACAGTGGTACAGGGCTCCCTTTGGACAACTCTGCTTGTCCAACTGTGGAACCATGCCTAACCTCCAGAGTCTAATTTTAATTTCCCTTTTCTTTCTGAATGGAGAACACAGCTGGAGGCCTTCCTCTATACACCATCTGTATACTGGAAGGCCTAAGGCTAGTCCTTAACTTCCTCTTCCTTAGTCTGAATAATTCCAATTCCTTTTGAGTCTGAGGTGAATTTCTCAAACTCTTACATTAAGTTACACTCCAGGCCATTCTTCCCCAGTCCCTTCTCAGATCCACCTTCTTGGCTGGGCTGTCCCAGGTAAGTCCCCACACACTGAAGAAGTTATTTCATTTAATCCCACAGGAGCGGCAGAACTTATGGCTACATGTTCTCCCATCCTTCTCGAATGCCTTTATACCCTGACTGGGTCGGGGCGGACCATGCTGACGACATCCAGTATATCTTCGGCAAGCCCTTTGTCACCCCCTTGGGTTATCGGGCCCAGGACCGGACTGTCTCTAAAAACATGATTGCCTACTGGACTAACTTTGCCAAAACTGGGTAAGGTCTGTGGGGGTGAGACCTAGGGGGCAGCTTCACCACCAGATTCTAGGATTGGTCACTAGTTCTTAAATAGGATGTAGGAAGAACATGTTTTAAGCATATAGGTTTTAAACAATTAAATTTATAAGCCATAAATCAAGAGTTTCACCAACACTCCTGAAACCTGACCTCACTGGGGCTTTTTTGCTTTTCTTAAAGGGACCCCAACATGGGCGATTCTGCAGTCCCTACCCAGTGGGATCCTTATACTGCAGAGAATGGCAGCTACCTGGAAATCACCAAGACAATGGATACCAAATCCATGAAACAGCACCTGAGGACCAGCTTCCTGCAATTCTGGGTCCTCACTTATCAGGCCCTCCCCTCAGTGACCGGTGAAAACAAAGTTCCCGAGGGCGACACTCCTATAGCTACGGCGGCAGACTCTTGAGGCGGCTGCTCCATTTCTCATAGTGGCTGACTTCATGTAACCCCCAAATTGGTCCTGTGCCCATTCACCAGGAAGTCAAGTGCCCATGAGGGCCAGGATTTAGCAGTGCCTACCTGGCTTTCTGCCCCTTCCCTCTCACTGCCTTAATAAAGTCTTGTCTCTATCTATCATATCTCATTCTGCCCTTACTCTAAGGCAAGGGTATTTAACCTGGGATTTCAAGGAGTCCACAAATCTAGTTTTAAAAAATGTTTTGATGAATTGTATTTCAGTATGATTGGTTTCCTTTGGAATCCTATGTGTTTTATGCATTTTAAAACATTGAGATAGGGTGCATAAAAAAGTTAAGAACCCCTGCCCTAAGGGAATTCACTCTAGAATGAGGTTAGGTACTTGGGTGAGCAGAATTTTAAAAGCCTTCAGGTTCCTTCTATGCTTGCTTCAGTGGGCAGGAAAGGGCACAGGGGCTGACATGTCTTTGAAGACTATTAGAAGAACAGGGAGTGTTTAGCTGGGCACTACTGGATGCTCACCTGGGAAAATCTACTGTAAGACAAAATGGATGCAGTGGGTGAGGCAGGACTCAAACGTGACTCCCTGTTTGTGTCTGAGAGACTGGGGAAATGGTGGTGACAGATGGAAATATGAAAGGCTGAGAAGATTCCTCTTGTTGGCCTGAAGATACCTGAGGCACTGGAGGGGATGGGGACAGAAGGTACCCTGGGGCCCAAGATGAAACTGACCTATTGATTTTTTCTCAAGTGGAAAAGCTGTATCCTGAATATGCTGCCCAGTGGCCTGGTCTGCTTTGGGGAGGGTGGACCAGCCTGCTGAATATGGTCATAGAAGACACACTAGGAAGGGGATAAGCAGGGAAGGGGTGTGTGTGTGTGTGGGTGTGTGTGTGTGTGTGTGTGTGTGTGTGTGGGTGTGTGTGTGTGTGTGTGTAGGGGGTTAATGGAAAGAGCATGGGATCAGTAACACCAACACCCAAGTTCAAGTCTCAGTTCTCTCTCACTATCTGGTTCACTCACAATCCCTCTTCTATCAATTTCACATCCCTCTGAGAACATACTGCATTGTCTCCTCCTTCACTCCAATCTCTGAAGAAAAGGTGTCCTTCCTCCTCATTGAAGTTAACTCTTCTACAATACCCTTGATCCTATGCCCTCTTAACCTTTCTTCAGCATATTGCCACTAGTATGGTTCCCACTATAATAGTTTTTTCCTTTCTACTTGTACCTACAAATATGCTTGAATGTCCCTTATCCTTAAAATACCCTCAAGTCTACTATACCTACTAGTTATCCTATTATCTTCCCTCCTCTTCTTAGCTAAACTTCTGGAAAAAGCCACCTGTACTCCGTGCTTCCCCTTCCTTTTTTTGTGATCTCTTCAAAACACTGCAATCTAACTTCTGATCTCATCTTTTCAGCTGAAACCATGTTCTCCAAAGTTACAGTGATCTCTGAATTGCTAAATCCAACAGCCTTCTCTTAGTCCTCAACCTCTCCACCATTTGACACTGCTGTTTACCTTCTGGGTTTTCATGACTCTGATCTCTTGGTTTTCCTACCTATCTGGCCACTCTTCAGTCTTTGCAGGAGAATTAGCATAATAACGCTATTATATTATATAACTCCTAAACCCAGAGCCAGGAAGTTGTTTAGTTGTTTTTAGTTGTGTCTGACTCTGTGACTCCATTTGGGGTTTTCTTGGCAGAGATACTACAGTGGTTTGCCATTTCCTTCTCCAGCTCATTTTACAGAAGAGAAGACTTAGGCAAACAGGGTTCTGACTTGGCCAGGGTCAAACAGCTAGTAAGTGTCTGAGGCCAGATTTGAACTCAGGAAGATGAGTCTTCCTGACTCCAGGCCCAGTGTTCTGTGCACTATCCCCACTCGGATGCTCACTAGGTGTGTGATCTCAGGCACCTTTCTTGGTCTATTTCTCATCTGTAAGATGAGGGGGTTAGATTACCTCTAAGGTCCCTAAATCTATGATCCTATGGTCTTTACCCATGGCATGCCACTAACTGTGGGCATGCCCTAAGGCTCTGTCCTGGGCCCTCTTCTTTTCTCTATATTTGAAGATCTCATCAGCTCCCATGGGTTCAATTATTATTCCTATGCAGTTGATTATTGGATCAACATATTCAGCCTTAGTCTCTCCTGAGCTCCAGTCCCATACTTGACAAACTGCCTATTGAACAGAATGCTTCATAAGCATCTCAAACTATGTCCAAAAATTCATTCTTTTTTAGCTTCCAAACTTATTACTATTGAGGGCATCACCATCCTCCCAAGTCACCAAGGTTCATAACTCTAATGCCATCTTCTGCTTCTCACTCTCACGTCATTTATCCAGTAAATTGTCCAATCTTTAGACATAAATATGTGTATTTATGTAAAATCATTCTACACATACTTCTATTTATCAGTTCTCTGAATGCAGATAGTGTCTTCCTTCATATGTCCTCTGCAGTTAATTTGGGTATGATTCTATTTCTACAGCATCTCTTGCTTTTATCCCTGTCTCCCCATTTACAAGCCACTACCCTAGCTCAGAGCTTTGTTACTTCTTGCCTGGACTATTGCAATAGCCAACTGATTGGTCTTCCTGGCTCAAGTCTTTCTCACTCCACTACATTCTTCCTTTAGTTGCCACACTGATTGTCCTGAAGCATAGGTTTAACCCTATCACCAGCTTTAACTTTAATGGCTTCCAATTACCTCTCAAATCACTAATCCACTACTCTGGCTTTTAAAGTTCATTACAACTCAGTCTCTTCCTATATTTCCAATCTTGCCCATTATTCCTGTCCATACACTATAAAGCCTAGCCAAAGTGGCCTCCTTGCTGTCCCCTCACATAAGGATATTCACTCTGTTCCATTTTTTTGTCTTTGCATCAGCTATCCTCCATGTCTGAAGTACTCTCCTTCCTAACTTGAGCCTATCAGAATCCCAAGCTTCCTCTAAGACTCATTGAAAGCACCACCTTCTATAGGCCTTCTCCTCCAAGGCTATATTCCATCTATTCTGCATGTCTTGTATGTATATGTTGTCTCCCCCTAGAATGTAAACTCATTGAGAGCAGGAACCCATTTTTGCTTTCTTTTTATGCCCAAAACAGCCCAGTGGCACACAGCAAGTACTTAATAAGTGCTTATAGATTTAGACATCATTTAGCCTTGGTCTCTTCATCTTTATCCGAAATAAGGTTGTTGGATTAGATATCTAATGAATCTAAGATCCGTTTTCTAGCTCTAACTCTATGATACTACAACTATCTACTCTAACACCTTATTTTTTAAGATGGGGAAACCAAGTCTAAAAGAAACTACTCGCCCAAGTTTTAAGATATTACAAGATCAGAGAGACATTAATAGGCAGAGTTAGGATTCAAACCCAGGTCCTCTGATTCCAAATGCAGTATTGTACACAATACCTGTGTGTCCTTGGGCAAGCAGGTTGATTAACCTCTCTGAGCCTTAATTTTCCCTACCTGTAAAATGAAGGTATGGAAGTAGACGGCATCTAAAGTCCTTTCCTGCACTGACTTTCTCAGATTTAGTTGTCTCCATATCCCCATCTCTGACACAGTGCTTGGTACACATTAGGAGCTTGATTCATGCTCATTGGTTGATTAATACAACTCCTTGCAATGACCCCAAGCTCCCAGCTGTCGAACTGGCTAATCCCAGCCAATTCCAGAACTGCCTCCCCTCTCTACCCCCACCCTTAAGGACTTAGCCAGGGGTTACACAACTTTATTCCATCTACAACATAACTAGGGATTTGCCAGGTCAAGTTGGAAGTCTGTGGGAAGAGGGGCATCTACTTGTTCAATCTTGCCATCCATACCCCCACATCTCTGAACAGTCTGTGGTTACACCCAAAATGGGGATAGCTATACTTCCAAACAGGGCTCTTCTCTAGGTGTTACTGTTACAGATAAGAAAACAGATGTCTGGAAGGAAAGCCACAGGCAGAAAATATTAACTTTAGTGGCAAAGGAGAGACTAGAACCCAGGCCTCCTGGACTCCGTGAACCAGGCTTTTGTCTTAGCATCTCCCCTAACCCCCTCCCAAAGAGAACAAAGCCCAAGTGTGAGGGAGATCTGGAGGTATTCACAGGTGACGAACTTCAGAGCAAAACAGAGAAACTCAAGCTGTGGTTTTAACAGGATTTAGTAGAATGTACAAGTCTAATGTTTTCTATTTACAACAAATAAATATTACCCCCCATCAGTAAACATTTTTCTTTTCTTTTTTGTTTTCTTTCTTGTTTTGTTTTTTGTTTTGTTTTGTTTTTTTACAAAAATTCAGTCATTTCTTTCTTGCCCCCTCCCCAACTGCCCTCATTCATCATCTTATGATGTCTGCAAAGTCCAAGGTTAGTGGCACTTGGTGTGGTTGAGAATTCATGTCAGCAGGACCCTGGCCTGACCCCTTCCTCTTGCTCACCTCTTGCTGTATATTTACAGGGGCCCCTACCTTTCCCATAGTGCAGAGGGAAGGGTCAGTGGGTCCTCCTTGCCCTGGTGTGTCCCTTGAGATAGAATCTTTGGTGCAGGTTTAGGGCTAGAGATCTGGGAGGCAAAGCCCCTGTGTTCTGGGGCCAGATCCAACTCATGGTGATTGGGAGAGAGAAATGCTTCACTCCCATGCCCCACCTCCACCCTGTATGGGGAGTGACCATGGGGACACTGAGGGTGGATGGTATGGGTACAGGTGGGGCAGGTGACTGGGGAAACTCTGGAAGATGAGGGAAGAATTGTGGTCAAACCCCTTTTGGGCATTAATGCTCCGGTATGCCCACTGGGCAAGGAATGTGGCAGTGACCATCAGCTTAGGAGCTGGAGATCCATTTGAAGGGCAGTAACAGGGAGGGGATGGGGCACTGGTGCCCACTGGCAGAGCTCCTTGGCAAAAAAAAGAAAAAAAATTGTTCTGTCCTCTGGTTCTTGGAAAGCAGAAGGCACCTAAGGCAATGAGGTGGTTGTTGGGGGTTGAGAAGAGGGGGTGGGAACCCGGTCAGCCCAAGTCTTAGGGGCATCATACTGGGTAGGAAGAGAGTGCTTGAGTGTCCAAAATCACGTAGAAAAAGTCAAAGTGGGAAGGTATCCCAAAAAGTCCCTGAAGTCAGGGGATCTAATCTGTCCAGG